GCTGCGGTTCTCTCGGTTGGTTGTGCATCTTTTTCTTCCACACTTTTTCCTTCCACTCAACTTTGTTAACATGCTTGGATACAGCACTCTGTGAACAGCCAGCTTCTTTGGCAATGAATGTTTGTGGCTTACCCTCCTTGTGAAGGGTGTCAATGATTGTCTTCTGGACAACTGTCAGATCAGCAGTCTTTCCCATGATTGTGTAGCCTAGTGAACCAAACTGAGAGACCATTTTGAAGGCTCAGGACACCTTTGCAGGTGTTTTGAGTTGATTAGCTGATTGGCATGTCACCATATTCTAATTTGTTGAGATAGTGAATTGGTGGGTTTTTGTTAAATGTGAGCCAAAATCATCACAATTAAAAGAACCAAAGACTTAAACTACTTCAGTCTGTGTGCATTGAATTTATTTAATACACGAGTTTCACAATTTGAGTTGAATTACTGAAATAAATGAACTTTTCCACGACATTCTAATTTATTGAGATGCACCTGTATACACACACATACTGGAAAACAAGTTTAAAAAAATGCTCATTAAAAACTCAAAATGCATCTGTATAACATTGAAAATTGTTAAAATAATAATAAGAGGATTGGGAAACCCTATAGTAAGTATCGGTCATACTTGTCTGCCAGGTATCCAATTGCAATGCTGCCCACTAAGAAACCAACACTGAGCATGGCCTGGAACATGTCAACATACCAGGCATCTGCACACACTAGATCAAACTGCAACACACAGGTCTCACATCAGACATTTAGTTCTCTCATTGCACTTCACACAATTATCAAAAGAAAAAAAGCTTGTTTTGTGATCCCACTACTCACCTCAGTCACGAACGACTGTCTCCCTTCATAGTCGTACTCCCAACCATCTGTACAGCCTGTCATGGGTAGAGTAGAAAGCTGGGCCTGGATGAGCTCACTTTCTGGATTGTCGCAGGTTAGACCGGTGGCGTTCCAGTCCATGTCCAATCTCTGACACTGATTGTACGTGACCCCTGTGGAGCTGTTCATCAAGGGTACAGTCGCCCTGCGTGCGTCTTGAAGGCTCCAGCCGCATCTCTCCCGGATCCCACTGACGGCTGGGTCACGGCACCAATGTTCGGGGGTGAAGCCCTGGAAAACAATCCCTACATATACGAAAGAAAACGGTATGGAGACCAAACAGAAAATGGACACAATTCGCATCTGGCTCCGACCGAACGCGCCGGCCTCCTCCAAGATATCTTCGAAAGTGGTCATGGTCACTGTATGCCTGGCGGTGGAGGACCTGAAGGTGTCCGCAGCTGTAAAAAGAGGTCCTCTAAGTTGAGGCAGAGTATTTACTCACAGCTGGCTGACCAAAAGTCCAGAGAAGGTTGAAATTTGATATATTCGTGCTGTGACTGACCAATTACAAGGGCCACCAAGTTACATTTTAACCACAGTGACATCTGAAGCCTGTTATGTAATTTGTCACTGTATAATTTTTGTTCAGAAAGTGTTGTATGATTACGAAAATGTATGATTACGAAAGTGTTGTTTAGTAAGTGGTCTTTGATACTGTATCAACACACTGCCAAAGACTCACTAAACGATTACTAATTTAACTAAACCCTGAAACAGTCTGGGTAAACTTTTTGTCTAGACTTTAATGGCAAATTAAAATTATTTAAAATAAAAATATAAATATTAGATGAAAAACTTTATAGACTAGAACTTTTAAAATGTTTCCTTGAAAACTAAATGAAATAATCTGAAGCATTAAAATTACTAATTGGAAATAAATTAAAGCTAAAACTGAACTAAACTAAAAAATAAAAAAGTAAACCTAAATAGTAATTTTGACTACTAAATAGCAAAAGCACATAACAAAATTACTATACATATATATATATATATATAAATAAATAAAAATATTAGATGGAAAATTAGTGCACAGCTAATATTTACATAATATTATGTTGAAGCACTAAAATTACTAACTTGAATAATCAATAAAAATAAAAGAAAGAAAAATAAACCCAAATATTAAGAAATAACCTTACTAAAAATGGCACAAACACAAAATTACTAAAATTTTAACTAAAATTAAAACCTAAAATATAAAAATGTAAATAAAGCCGATATAAATTAAAATATTTGATGATAAACAAATCTATTTCAGTTCGATGCAAAGGCAACATTTCTAATGTTCATTTAGTTTGTTAAAACTGGAAATAAATGAAAACTAAAACTAAACAGAAATAAAAATAAATTAAATCGAAATGGTAATATAAAAAAATGAAAATGACAAAACCACATAGCAAAATTACATAAAACATATAAAAATATATTATGATAAAAAACAAAAATATTAATAAAAACTAAAACACTGGTTTGATTCAAATTGCTTGAGCAAGCCTTCAGACTAGTTAAAGTAGTGAGATAAAACACAATAAGAACAACTCCTAATAAGAATGCATGCTGAGGAGCTGATAGTTTTATTGAAATAACGCCATAATATCTCAGCATAAACGGTTTAAATCCCAAAACAAGATGCCGCAAAACATGACAAATACAGTCTGAGAAGAGCTAAAGCCTCTATCAGAAAAAAAAGACTATACCAGGACCTTCTCTTGAAGTATTTCAGAGAACTGTATCGTACAATATCCCATACAGCAGGCGCAGACATTTTTTCAGTAAGGAGAGCGGGAGCACGTGATGACCTAGCTATCAAGTGCACCATTCACTTTCTGCCCTAAAGGACAGTGGGGGGAAAAAAAATAAAAAATAAAAAACACTGTCCACCAATGTGCAAAGTACTAACAGGCATGCTTTCACATATCGTGACGTACCGTCTCAAGAGCAGCGAGTTATGACGGATATACAGAACTGGTGTGGCTTTATTTGGCAACCATATATGTGAGGAATACCCTGACGGATGGTAATACAAGCCTATGAGACAAAATATTAGAGCAAAGAGCTGGAGTGGAAAACACTGTACACATGCTGCCAAACAGGACCAGTGTCCGGTTGTACCTTCACTGCCATGAGATAAGAAGGTTTTGGTAAATCTTTTCTGGAGAGCTGACAGCAAACCTGCAACACAACTTATGTAAATGTATGCATCTTTCTTAAAACTGAGTTAGTCAGCATAAGAACGTGAGCTGAAACCGATTCAGCAAATAAAACACTTTTGCAGATGTTGTATTCGGTTAATGCAACTGAAAACAAAACGGTTCACGCTAACGGGAAAAGTGCTTTGTAAAAGGCTTTCTGCCACCTGCTGTACTTTTGGCTTCTTTCATAGGCACTGATTTCTTCTGTGCAAAACATAAAATAAAACGACAAAAAACTATTAAAAGAATAGGTCTATTTACAACAAAGTTCAATTTGTTAATGTTAATTAGCGCATTTGGTGTCACCAACTAACCATAAACAATATTTTTACAGAATTTATTAACCTTTGGTTAATGTTATTTCTACATATTCTAATACATCTGCAACATTTCAAGTTGTATAAATAAACATTAATGTATCATAAACAAACATGAAATAAGAACAGAATATTTATAAAATTAACAGATTAATAAATTCTGTAAAAAAAACGAATTGTTGTTCACTGTTAGTTCACACGGAGCCAAGGGGAAATGGTGATTAGAGGCTAAATTTGAGCGCTTTTGCATTCTCTCGCAATCCTTTTTATTTGTAAACTTGCCGTTTGCTCGCAAAACATTTGTTCTCTCGCAAAACTACGTCACGTTTCCCTGAGAAAATTTGCGCTCACTTGTAAAAGCATTAAAAATAGTTTTTCCTCCCACCTCATATTATTGCCATCACAAAAGTTTTGTCAGTGAATGACAACATTTCTTGGGGAAACGCAAATGTTTTGCAAGCAAATGCTCTAGTTTTACAAAAGTTTCTCAGGGGAACAAAAATTTTTTTTTACAAACAATAGTTTTGTGTGCAAACGGAAGAGCTTTTTGGGGAAGTTTTATGCTCAAACACATGTAAGCGGATGAAAAAAAAAATTATCTGGGATTTTTACGATCACATAAGTTCTGTAAGCAAACAAAGGTTCTCAGGATAATGCAAAAGTTTTATGATTTATGAGTTGTGCGAGTGAACACGAAGTTTCTCTACGAACCGCTAAAGTTTTACAAATGCAATCGTTTTGCAAGTTTCTCCAGGGAATTAAAAAGTTTTACACTCAAATGCAAAAGTTTTGCGAACGAACGAACGAACGGCTCTCGGGGGAGAGCAGAAGTTATACAATCAAACAAAAGTTTTGAGAGTGAACTAAACGTTTCTTAGAGAAGCGCAAACGTTTTACAACCAAATGCGATCGTTTTGTGAGCAAACAAAGTTTCTTGAGGGAACTGAAAAGTTTTACGAGCGAACGCAAAAGAACTGAAATACAATTTTTCCTCCCGTCTCAATTTTTTTAACTATCACCATGTCCCATTAATGAACTGAATCTTATCGTAAAGTGTTACTAAACAATAAAGCAAATAAACACGACAATGAATGCAATCATTTTTCTTCTGATTGCGATAAGAAATGATGATTCTAAAGGAAGCCTGCAGCAGTCATACATGCGATGACATTCCTTCATGGCACTAAATCGCTGTATGTGCTCGGGGTTCTATGCGTTTTGTCAGAACAAGGGGGGAAAAGCATTGCATAAAACACCCAATAACAGATGGATGCTATGGTTTAGATGAACGCTGCTATAGTGAAAGGTGAATGCCGATGCAGAACGCAAATGCGAAGCATGATGTTCGAAGGTTTGTGATTTAAATATGAACTTGGCAAAGTGGATCAATCTCCTCTCGGTGCTACATGGCTCAAGATATATGAAATACTGCTACAGATTGTAGTTTAGAAAAGATCTTTGACTGTATCTGCCACAATCATCCATAATTATTTCAAAGAACAGTGTATTTTTCCAGCGAGCTGGTGAATTAACAAAAAACAGTACCCAAAAATCTTTAAATAACAATAAAAAAAATCTAGGTAGTCCATTTCTGTAAGTTTGTGGGAGACCGAATTCACATACGATGTTGTACACAACTCATCTTAATCAATGGAAAACAGAACACACAAACAAATAAACGATCAAATGACAAAAACTTCTTCTTTTGTCAGAAAGGCATTGAATCTATTTAGTGGACGAATCGACCAACTTGCTCTTGAAAGCTGTCTTGTAAACAGCTCACAGAGACGTTTCCCTTTAGAAAACCCAAAATGGAGCAACTAAACAATTGGAGCGTGGTGGCAGAGACATTCAAAAGTTCAGTTCGGGCCCCCCGGCGCCCTCAGACTTTAAGTAGATCCTCGTCGCTGTCATCGGGGTCTGGCTGAGGTTTGCTCTGGTTTCTGCCGCTGTATCGGGTCTTATTTCTGCTCCGTGTGTCCACCAGGAGCCCCACCAGATCCTCATCGCTCTCTGATTTCAGCAAAGCTGACTGCAGCCTTGAGGAAGTGGACGATGAAGGGGCGATTCGGACCCCTGGGACTGTGAGCACCTCGTCCTCACTGTCCTGCTCGTCCAGGGAGAAGGAGTGCAGGGCGTCTGCGCTGACAGGCTTGGTGGTGATGTGACCGTTCCCTTGTGGCTCCCGCGTGGGCGTCCCGGTCTCTTCCATTAACCATTCCATCTCATCTTCACATCCGTCCTCATCTACGTTCACCTATCAAGAGAGACGAACACAAAGACAAAAAGAGAGTTATATTTATACTCATTCTGATTGATTCATTTACTTAATGTAAACTGGCAAAAAAGGTCAAACATTACCTTGGAGTATTTGTAGGATACTGGATTTCTTTTCCTGCAGCAGCTTGACACTTTCTGTATTACAAGTTGCCTAAAAATATGAAAATGCATATTAAGCACACTGACTAAAAAACTGGTGTAGAAACAATTTTCATTCAGAAATTGCTGGTAAATTTGTACAAATAATAAATATAGCAAATGAATTAGCACTGAACTAAACATTACATTTTAAAGTAATAAAATAATGTTTTATTTACAGCTTAAAAAATGTTTTTACAGTGCAACTCAAAGCAGCTTGAGTAGAATTCCTATATTTTTTATAATAAATAGTTTGTAGTTTTTAAAAAAATATACAGTGGGTACGGAAAGTATTCAGACCCCCTTAAATTTTTCACTCTTTGTTATATTGCAGCCATGCGGGCTTTTCACATGAAAGCCCGCATGGAGATTGCTAAAAAACACCTAAAGGACTCCAAGATGGTGAGAAATAAGACAAACTTGTTGCATCTTTCCCAAAAAGACTCATGGCTGTATTAGATCAAAAGGGTGCTTCTACTAAATACTGAGCAAAGGGTCTGAATACTTAGGACCATGTGATATTTCAGTTTTTCTTTTTTAATAAATCTGCAAAAATGTCAACAATTCTGTGTTTTTCTGTCAATATGGGGTGCTGTGTGTACATTAATGAGGGAAAAAAATTAACTTAAATGATTTTAGCAAATGGCTGCAATATAACAAAGTGAAAAATTTAAGGGGGTCTGAATACTTTTCGTACCCACTGTAGGTCGGAAAGAATTTTTAAATATTTTTGAGTCTCTTATGCTCACCAATGGTGCATTTATTTGATAAAAAAAAAATATATAAAATATTATTATAATTTAAAATAACTGTTTTCTATTTCAATTTAAAATGTAATATATTCCTGTGATGGCAAAGCTAAATTTTCAGCAGGCATTATTCCAGTCTTCAGTGTCACATGATCCTTCAGAAATCATTTCAATATGCTGATTTGGTGCTCAAGAATCATAATTATTATTATCAATGTTGAAAATAGTGCTTAATATTTTGTTGCAAACCATAATAATTTTCGGGATTCTCTGATGAATAGTAAGTTCAAAAGAACAACATTTATTTGAAATAGAAATCCTTTCTAATATTATAAATGTCTTTACTGTCACCCTTGAACAACTTAATGCATCCAAAGTATTCATTTCATAAAAAAAAGCACTGGCCACAAACTTTTGTATTAGTTTAAAAATAAAATTCACACGTATAAATGTAAGTTGCATTTTACCTCCGGTCTCGTTTGTGCAGCAGAAGAACAAGCAAACAGATTGTGAGCACAACCAACAGCAGGCTAAGCACCGCCCCTAAAGCCTGACTTCGCCCAGACAATCCAGCATGCTCCTCCCCTCCATCAGTGCTGTGCGGGTCCATGGAGCTGGACGAACTATGAGAAAATCAATGTACTCTACTCAAACTTACTTGGCTAACAAATCTATGTTGTAGAATTGTTGAATTAAAGCCTAAAAGTATGTTTAGGCTTTGGTTATACTCACAAAAATTCACAAACGGTGGCGGTGTGCCAAACAAACAGATACTGGCAGCCATCTGTCTCCAGAAGGAATTCTGGGATACCTTCTCCTGCCGTAGGGCTGCAGTGGAACAGGATGGTCGAGGACACAGTTTTGGTTTTGTCTCGTCCACATACAGATTCAGATGGTACCGAGACCTCAAGACTTCCACCTGACAAAATACAACACCAGGTTATGCCATAAAAGTGTTACAACATCACTGAAATACAAACCTAAACTAATAATATAACTAAATTGAATTGACAAAAAAAAAGTAATAAAAACGGTCAACATATGCTAACTGTACCCTAATTTAATATATATTCAAATATTGAATAAGTATAAAAATAATTTTAGAAATTACACAAAATATATATACAAACAAAACATTTAACAATTTTTGTGTGGTTACAAAAATAATTTGTCAATTATTTAATGTAAATAAAAAATAAAACAAATTTCACAATCTTTTCAAACAACACATTTTAAACAGAACATTTATTTATTAAAAAAAATATTTCTGGCATTTGTGTGTTGTTATAAACAGAATTTAACAATACAAATAAATACATCAATTAATTAAATATAAATAAATAAATAAACAAACAAAGGAAATCTTAAAAAAAAAAGTTTAAACAATAGTTTCCATTTGCGTATTGTTATAAATAAATAAACAAACCCCTCTTTGCCTTTCATCTGTCACACATTGTAATTCCCAACATGGTCACTAATAGAATTTCTCTCACCTTTTATATAATACTTTGCTTTGCTGGAGGAGCCAATTTTTCTGCGGTAACTGTCATTAATCTTGACCTGACAGATATTGGCACCCAGACAATTGGAAATGGAGCTGTCGGTGATGCCTGACAGCTGGATGTGGTAGATATAGCGATCTCCATTGGAACGGATGTCTCCTGTGGCATTGTGGAAACTGAGGACAGATAAAACACTGTTTATCTCATGCACATTACTAGATGTGGTGTGGTGTAGTTGTAGGCTCTGTGTTAATGAATGAGAGTTGATGGCCAGAGATACTCACTGATAATAAAGCACTCCCAGGTTGAAAATGGCTCCTGTCTCGGGTACTTTGATGGTTCCATTAATCATCTCCACTTCCTCCTGCTTCACAGCACATGCAGATCGAGTCTCCCACTCCACCCAGTACTCGCATGCTGTTTTATCCTCCCTAAAACAAACAGACAAAAATATGAATCTTATTTAACTCACATTACATTAAAAATACAGACCAGCATCTCTGGGGAAAACAAAAAAAAATTATATATATATATATTTTTTTTTTTATTCCGGTGATGGCAGTGTCACGTGATCCTTCGCAAATCATTCTAACATGCTGATTTGGTGCTCATTTACTAATAATAGCTCTTTTTATTATCAATGTTAAAAACATTGTTTTTCTTTGATGAATTGAAAGTTCCAAAGAACATATTTTAAATCTTTTGTGGCATTATAAATCTTTACTGTCATTTATCATCAATTTAATGCATTTAATTGCAAAATTATAAATGATAGTGGTTTCCACAAACATATTAAGCAGCACAACTGTTTTGATAACAACACTGATAATAATAAGAAATGTTTCTTGAACAGCAAATCAGCATATTAGAATGATCTCTGAATGATGCTGAAAATTCTGCTTTGCATCACAGGAATAAAATACATTTTAAAATATAATTAACTAGAAAACAGTTATTTGAAATTGTAATAATATTTCACAATATCACTGCTTTTACTGTATTTATAAATGTAGCTTTGTGACCAATAGAGATCAAAAACAATTTTTTTTTTTAAATCTTAATTTCTAACCTTTCGACCAGTAGTGCATATGTTTTGGTTCTCTGAAAGCTGGTTAAAAATGACACCTCTAACAGATGCTAAACCAGATGCTAAACACCACAAGTTAAGAACCTATTCATGCCAAGTCATTCTTAACTTACTTGAATAATTTCGGATGGCCCACTGTGCTGCCACACTTCAGCTGCAAGATTGTTTTTGCTGGTTTATTGTTTCCACACACCTTGTTACCCATGGAATAATTGACGAGGATCTTTCCATCTGGTGAGGACACATACTGATGAGAAACCAACAAAACCGCAATCACGTCAGAGAAGGTTTAAAATACTTACCGATTAACTCCATGGTCTGCGTGTGAACACGGCCCAGAGTCTCTGTCTTCCCGCTGGCACGTCTGCGACACACGGCGGCATCTGCTGCACACCCTGGCTGGCCTCCATGAATGGCCTGGCAGAGATTGAAGTAGTACCTGTGAGAACAAATAGTACAATTGTGAATTTCATAAACACTGAATAGATGCAGGTGCAATATTACACCAGTGTGTCATTTACTGATTAAATGCAATGGGTCTAAATTCCACAGACTTGAGTACAAATAGTACTAGTACCAAAAATGTATGTTTTTGAACAAAAACAAATATATAGAAATTATGGCTGATACAAATAGTTGATAATTATTGCTCTGTTATGGCCTACAGAAATGGTAAAAATGAATTTTGTCCATCTTACGAATCTTATGAAATTAGATTTTATAATATATATTTTTATTTTAGACACACCATCACAACTCTGCTCTCCAGATACTGTATCATAATCGACCACTAAAGATAAATACATAAAAAAACTAATTCAAATGAATGAAAGAACAAGATATGTTTTAGGATATGTCTTTTTATTTACTCATTTAATTAATTTTATTGGATAATTTTTATTATTTTATTAGATAGATTATTTATTTTGGCGGAAAGTGTTAATGTTAGGTGCAAAAATGCATTTTGCAAAATGTAAAAATTTTTTGTTACTGCTTTAAAAAAAGATTACAATAAAACAAAAAACAATGATAGTAACAACTGCTTTCTTTCACATAAAAATTGTAAAAGAGTAATCAATACTTAAGAAAAGGGGAAAAGAAGCCATGATATTGTTTTTCTAATATCAGCCTAAAAAATTACTAATAAAATTCTAATACTAATGATATTGACCTTTAGTGTCAAGGATATACTGTATATTTACATCCCGTGACAGGGGCAAATGAAATTGAACAGAACAACAGCTGTGAAACTCACGAATCGTCCCCGTTGCTAAATTTCCATGGTTCTGTTAGAGATGAGAGCGTGCGCAGGTCGTAGGTCTGGTGTTGCCCTGCAAGCTTGCACTCCATCTTTTTGGGTGGGCACACCACATTCGTTCGCCACTGGAAGGTAGCAGAACATCCTTGGGTTTCGCTCATCAGCTGAGGACTTCCACGACCCGCCGCTCTGTCACACGAGAACAAAATAGACGACTGCCGTTTCTCTCTTAGTGCTGTGAATTAAACAAGACAGAATTTGTAAATAAACAGCTTTAAAATCAAGTTTCTATTTATTTGATTTATTTAGTCATTTAGCAGACACTTTTATCCAAAGCGACTTACAAATGAGGACAACAGAAGCAATCAATTGTAGTATTAAAACAACTAAAAACAGATCCAAAGCTAAAAGCTAAAACTTTATAAATACTACTTATACACATTTTAAAAATAAAGAAATTAAATAAAAATGACAAATGCATACAACAACATTTCAAAACTTAACATTTAAATGAAAAACCAAAAAAATAAAGCTAAAAACTATTCAAAATATTAAAGAACAAAAGGTATGAGTATAATAATGATTCTAACATAACACTAAGCCAAACACCAAAAAAAAAAACTACATATGTGTATGTACAACCACACACACACACACACACACATAAATATACATACACATATATACTTATAAAATCAATATATATACTATTTCATGTCCATGTAGTTTGTTGAAGTATTAAAATAACTCAAATTAAACATTATACTACTATGTAAACACTAAATATCACATATGGGTTAGAAAATAAATGACTACTTTTATAAGCATATTCATTGATGGAAAAAAAGTAGTCTTGGCTTAGTTGGTAAATAGCATTAAAGGAGGGCTATGCATACAATAAATGACAAACCTTAAACCACTTAATGTCAGAACCAGACAGAAAAGCACAGCCATACACACCACCTCCATCATAAGTGTCACAAGACAATGACACAAACTCAGTTTTCTTAAAAGAACTTGTTCCTGTTTTAAAGAAGCATTACACCAGAGCTAATTTTGTCTGTATCAAAGCAACCCACAAGATCCAAATTCTGAAGATACACAAATTCTTGTATTCAGATGTACTCATAAAATCAACTTTCAACTAGACAGAAACACATTTGTTATTTAAATCTTAAAAAACACAGACAATTTAAGTAATGTTCACGTTATGTGCTGCCAAATTGATAAACCAACTGAAATAATTACATTAGGTTTATTTAAACCTAATTTAATTATTTCAGTAGGTTATTACTAGCATTTACTTAATTACATTATTTTTTAATTATTAAAATTTTAAAAAAATCATACATTTTATAAACATAGTTATTTACATTTTACTTAAATTATTTAAATTGAATTCATTAACTTAACACATCTGTTTATATTTCTTTCCTTAATAAGGAACTGCAACCATTAAAAAAAAACAGATTAATGAAATGAAATAAATACAGCTTGTCCAGTTGCTCTATCCCAAAATAGTACATGTATTTCATGAGTTTTATGTCATAAATGATTCATACCGCCAGAGCAAAAGCCCCATTTGTGATCTTTGTTATAGTCGCTTGTAGTGGCACACCACGTCCTGCCGTCAGTCCTGCCCTCAGTTGTGCACTCAGTATAAGACTTGTCCAGGAACTTAAAGGGGAAAGTGCACACTTCATTTTTAACTGTAACTGAAAGACAATAAACACACATTTTAATCATTTCGGGGAAAAGTTTAACGAGAGTCTATCAACAGATTTCATCTTAGATCTTGACCTTGGTTGACTGCAATGCATGGTAATGTTGCATTTCCTATAACACATGCATGCAATGTTGCCAAATCTTACAATTATTATCTTCTAGAACAAGACCATATGTCAAAAGTGTGCCCATGCTGCCTTAAAATGTAGTCTAGGTAGGCAGTTCAATAGGTTTATAGAGTGATTCAGAGTGGTTTGTTTGTCTGACCTTGAGGACAGGTGTCTCCTCCACTGTACTGCATGATCACAGCCTGCTCTTCTCTCTTGTAGTCTATGTTCATGATTTTGCTGTTCCCGTATGAAGCCGCAGAAGCCGTTGAGATCAGACATACCGCGCTGTCTTTACATGCTGTGCCCGCCACAGTCCCACACACATTGATATTAAAAGAGCCAGAGCTTCCAGGAACCTAAAAAAACACAACAAACTAAGCTCCAGAATCATCCCTTTGCTACTATGTGTGTGTAAGTTGACAAAGGGAGATTTCTGGCATATATACACACACTACCGTTGAAAGGTTTGGAGGTCTGGATTTTTAAAAATTAATTAATTTTAAAATGAATATTTTTATTCAGGAAGGATGCATTAACTTCATGAAGCAGCAGTAAAGGCATTTATAAAGTTACAAAATATTTCTATATCAAATAAATGCTGTTCTTTTGTAGTCATCAAAGAAATCTAAAATAAAACATATCAGATTTCCATAAAAATATTAAGCAGCACAACTGGTCTCAACACTGATAACAGGAAACGTCTCTTAAGCAAATCGATACATTAGAATGATTTCTGAAGGATCATGTGACACTGGAGACTGGAGTAATGATGCTGAAAAATCAGCTTTCACTCACTGGGAATAAATTACATTTCAAAATAAATTCAAATACAAAACGGTATATTTTAAATTGTAACAATATTACTGCACTCTTGCTTGATCAAACAAACGGTGCCTTGGTGACTTCTTTGAAATGCAGCCTTGGCATAAGAGACTTCTTTCAGAAACATTAAACAATCTAACAGACCCCCCAACCTTTTGATGGCACAAATGTCAAATGTTCAGTCTTGGAAAAGTCTTTCTCTCTTCATTACCTGAACGGTCCCTGACAGAGCTGAGAGGTCAAATGTATAGCGCAGCTGGGAGACGGTCAGACTGCAGCCGTGCGCTGTGATGGTCTCCGGGCAAACCACAGGAGTGGCCCACTCAAACACATACATACAGTCCTGAGCCCGGATCATCTGAGGAGAACCCTGTTTGTGCAAAACCAACACTCACATTCAGGTACAACAAAGATGACTGACAGAATTATTGAACCAACAATCCCTCGGATACACTCGACACCATTTATGACCGTTTTGGGTTGCTCTCTTACCAGCTCTGCCCCTTTCTGGCAGGTGAAAACGATCTTGGAGGAGTAGTTGGAGGTGGGGTCAGAAGGGCAGACGGTTGTGCTGCTGAAGGTGATCTCCACCTCATTGGTGTTGATATTATACCGAGGAGGGGAGGTGATTCGTCCGATGTCCTGCACAGAAAAAAACAAGCCCACACTGAATTTAAAACCGAAAAATTGGATTCAAACATGTCATTTAATATCAACTCCCGGTGCCATGGTATGATTAGTAAAAATATTTTGCACAAATAAACTCAAACTAATATGAATAATGTCACAAAAGCAAAAACGACCGTATGTAATTTCTTTATTTCAAGTGTGACCAGGTGTGCATGTAGTCTAAGACAGCCTCCAATATTGGTTAACGATAACATATTATTAAATTCCATAGTTAATACTTGGGCTGCAAAATTTTGGGAAAAATTCTAATTGTGATTTTTCTGATAAAACCTATGATTTAAAATGTGATAAAAAAAATTTTTACACAATTGCACGATTTGGCCAAAAAAAAAAAAAAGTGATTATATATCAATATGACTATAAAATAAAAACAACAAAAATTATGAATATAAATATGAATTATTATTGGTATCTTTATAATTACTACTAAAAAAAATTACAAAAGAAATATTATACTATAATACTTCACTGTAAAAATAGCAATAAAATAATTCTGACATAAACAGCCATATTATACTATAATATTTCCGAAAAATAAATACTTCTACTAGTACTAATTATTTTTTATTATTACTATGTAAAATATTCAAATAAGAAATTACTGTAAAATAAAAATGTATTTAAGAAAATAATAGTAATTACAATAATAATAGATTATTATAATTATTACTACAAGTAGTACTAAATAAATATCAAACAAATAAAAAATGACTAATATTTTACTGTTAAAAATTAGTACTTAAGAAAATAACAATAATAATAGTAATAGTATTTTACAGTTCAATAAAGTAGAATTACAATACTAATTAATGGCTGTTATAATTTTTCAAATGTTAAACCATTCGTAGTACGTTTTAGGTCTGTAGATCAAGGAAAGTGGAGTTCACTATTGTACTGATGCATTTACTCACAACTGGATCTCCATCAACAGGATCCATGCACACAGCGGCCCCTGGAGGACAGTTGACCCCTGGGATGGGGTTGAGGGGCTGGCAGATGTTGATGTAGAAATCAGGAGACTTGCCCCTGCCTAAATCCTCGTTGATCGCTGTGTAGTAACCAGTGAGATGGATCAGAGGACTGAGGTCAATCTGGTTGGTACCGTTCCAAACAGAGCACTTCACCTGCAGAGAAGAGACACTGAATTTGTTGCAGGTTCAACTGAAGCGAGGTTTAGAGAATCGAAAACCTTAAAGACTTCCTGTTACCTGTTGTTCGCAAACCAGAGGAGTGTGCCAGGAGAAAAAGTGAGTACAAGTGTTGTCATCCGAGTACACCAGCACGGGTTCATCTGTACCTCCTCCCTCAGACTTGCAGACGAAGCTGAAGATGCTCTTGTGTTTGAGGGAAGGGTTGGCGGCACACGTGTCTCCATCCTCATAGGTGAGCTCCACCACCTGATCCTTATACACCAGCTGCCGTGTGGTTTTCCCACCACTTATGGCCATCTGAGTGTCTTTGATGCACACGGCTGCAGCAAAAAACATCTCAACATTACTGTACAAAGTCTTTTTTTTTTTTTTTTTTGCTTAGGGCCTAAATCTTAAAACATGACGAATAATGCAAAAAAAAAGCACAAACAAAACTACTTTTATATATAAAAAATACACAGAAAATAGTGTCTATATATAAAAAAAGTGTCTAAAGTGACAAAATGTAGTGAAAAAAATGATTGTATATTGTATATAAAATTAAATACATTTACATTATATATACATACATATATACACACATTTTTAAAAGTTCATTTAAGTTTATTACAGTATATATATCAGATACATAGATATAGACCCTGTTATGTAATATTATTATATACATAAAATATATATAAATATATTTTACACACTAAATGAAAGGTACAAAGGAAATATATACCTGTTCCAGGGGCACAACCAGCATTGGCTACATCTCCACATACATTCAGTCTGAACATCTTCCTATGGGCTGAGGGATCATAGACTGTATAGCCACCTGTCCGACTGAGGGCATTAAGGTCAAAGAGATGACCTGTGGAAACCAAGCACAAGCACAGTACATCTCAGACTGATTTAGGAACAAACATAAAATTAGAGCGTGTGAAAACACTCTTGCCGTTATTCGGGCTATTTGTATGCAATTACATGACACTGTTATGAGCAGACAGGAAGTGTTTGGATAAGATGATTCAGTTGTTCTGGTTCGGAATAATTGTGTATTTAGCGTGAGTGAGGCTCATGTGGGTGACTCACCTGTGGCTGGATTTGTGACTTTACAGTCTCCGTGTTCTGTGCTGTTGAGAGGACAGGCTGCAGCAGTGAACCACACAAAGCTATAGACACAGTTGTCCAGAGTCGTGATCAGAGTAGGTTCAGAGTCCTGCAGAGAGACAGACAGAAAGCCAGAGAGACAGACAAGGAGAGGATGGCATTATGATCACTGTATAATAGTTTTATACTTATTATATAATAATATTTGCATATTTATTATAACTTTAGGTCGATACGATTTTTTAAAAATTGTTTTTGAAAAGTCTCTTATGGTCACCAAGGCTGCATTACACTGTTTTTTATTTTAATATAATTTAAAATTTAATTTATTTCTGTGATAGAAAAGCTGAATTTTCAGCATCATTACTCCAGTCTTCAGTGTCACATGATCCTTCAGAAATCATTCTAACATGCTGATTTGCAGCTCAAGAAACATTTCTTATTATTATCAATGTTTAAAACAGTTGTGCTGCTTAATATTTTTGTGGAAACTGTGATACATTTTTTTCAGGATCGTTTGATGAATAGAAAGTTTAAAAGAATAGCATTTATTTGAAATAGAAATCTTTTATAACATTATAAAAGTCTTCACTGTCACTTTGGATTAATTTAATGCATTCTTGCTGAATAAAAGTATTTCTTTAAAAAAACTAAACAATTCGAACTAACCCCACGGTAGTGTGTGTTTATTAAAATATTCATAAAAATATTAGTTATAAAAAAAAATAATTAAACAGTAGTTAGTCTATAGTAATTATGTTTACTTCAGAACATGCAAGTTTGAGTCTATAGAGAAAAGGATAAATAACCACAGACCACTTTGTCTGGTTCGCATCTGAAATGAATAATGGTGGTCCGGTTTCTCTTGCCATCAGGACAGGCTTGTCCGTTGGTGTACTTCAGAATCAGGATGTTATTATCCCACTGTGGACCCGCCTCTGCTTCCCCCAGATTCACATACTTATCTCCATCCTTCAGACAGGCCGCAGCGCTAGACGGGCAGCTCCACAAACCTGAAACAAACACCAGTTATAAATCCTATGCTGACTGGTCAATATGCTCTAGCTGTGCTGCTACAACTCACCGGTCTGAGGCACCAGAGACTTGCACACATTGATATAGTAACGCTGCTTCTGATTGGTCGCTTCTGGCACAACAATCCAATTGGATTTGTGCAGTGCCAGCGAGGATAGATCGTAGGAGTGGCCACTGCCATCACTGCCAGACAGAGAGGAGGTTATAGGTCATTTAAACAGTTATATCATGTGTTGGGAGCAAATGCATAAGCATAAAGGTTCCTCTCACTTGTAGGAGCAGGTTGTGGTTTTGAAGGAAGGACAGGCCAAAGCTGTGTGCCATTCAAACAGATATGTGCAGTCTGCAGACTCCTTTATGAACACCGGCTTACCCTGATGAACAAAGGAAAACATTCAGAAAATTTATTTAACTTCTTAATAAACTCATTCATTGGCTGAAAGGAACTCACAGGATTCTTGCTGTGGTCGCAGGAGAAGAGAATAGCCGTGGATCGCTCGTAAATCTTGTGGCACTTTTCCCCATTCGTGTAGTTGATCATTATAATCCCATCATCAAATGTGATGTTTTGATTGGCTAAGCCTGCAAAGGAGCATGGAAACGGTTAAAGGAATAGTTCACCCAAAAATGAAAATCTGCTGAGCATTGACTCACCCTCAGGCCATCCAAGATGTAGATGAGTTTGTTTCTTCATCGGAACATAATTGGAAAAATTAAGCATTACATCACTTGCTCTCCTATGGATCCTCTGTAGTGAATGGTGCCGTCAGAATGAGAGTCCAAACAGCTGATAAAAACATCACAATAATCCACACCACTCCAGTCCATTAATTAACGTCTTGTGAAACTAAAAGCTGCATGTTTGCAATAAACCAATCAAGGCATTTTGATTTTAAACGTCGCTATTGGCCAAAATATGAGTCCATAATAATGCTTCCTCTAGTGAGGAATCCAACAACATACTTGTTTAGAATGGTTTTAACTTATAAACTGTGCTTGATCTGTGCATATTTCTCCTCTGATTCAGACAAGACGACTTTGTCACTGGAGAAAGCAATATTATGGATAGAGGATTTGTATTTTAGCCATAAGAAATGGTTTGAAGTGAAAAATAATTATGATGGATTTGTTTATAACAAACATGCAGCTTTTCACTTCACAATATGTTAATTGATGGACTGGAGTGAAAGAAACTTATTTCTTCTTAATATAAATGTTGAATAGAGTTGTGGTGCTTAATTTATTTATTTTTTCTCCAAATATTGGTTTCAAGTTACTTGAAAAAGATTACTTTTTTTACTTGCAGCAACAAGGTTACATAAATCCTGTGCAGCTAAATAATGATTCATTTTAGTTTTTTTTAAATATAATTTAACTATAAACATTTATAGACATTGCTATCACACTATGAATCTTAAGATAGATTATAGTTTATATGTACATATCCAGTCATGACACCAATTTGCTCTATATTTGTGGAAAGTGCCATGGATAAAAATTTATTTGCACTTAAGAGAGAAACTATGCACTTGCTTACAGGACTGTCATCACACTGGAAGATGATTCGTGTGGAGTAACGTCCTAAACCGCACTTGTCCCCATTCAGATAAACAATACTGATGGAGCCATCTGCTGCTGCCTGCAGGCTGGACTGCACGTATCCCAGATTTACACCTCTGCCTTTCAGCTGGCCACATGCCCCAATTGCTCCAGCTGCCAACAACATATTAGTTTACTGTGCGGCCATTCAGACCAGCACTACTGCTCCAGCTCTTGGTTGGTGTTACAAACAGAAAATTAATCTCAAAGTACCAGGCTAAAAACAGGAAGACATTTCAAAAGAGTCTGTGAATATCGTTCCAGAGACACTTACCAGGGCAGCCCTGGACACGAGGCAGCGGTTTACACACACTGATGTAAAACTTTTGAAAGCGGGCCTGATCTGAGGTGTCCAGAGGAACGTAATACTCGTCATCCAGACTGAGGTCACTCAAGTCATACTCTCTACCTTGTATATCTGGAAATGCAAGACAGCTTGAGTTTGGTAACAAAATGGTGATAGTAATGGTGCAGAAAATGACACCCTTCAGCATTAAAAGCATGTTTTTGTGCACAGGAAAGCTTACCCATGACTTGGCAATCCACAGGAGCAGGTTCACAGGCTAGCGCAGTGGAAAGCTCGAAGAACACATCGTGGGTTACGTGTGTAGTTGTGCCCAGCTCTTCCTGTATAAGCCTCAGAGAAGGTGGGTTGGCCTTCTGATCACACACAAAATTTATGATGAAGGTGTCTTCGGTACCTACAGTACAGATGGGAAACAGGGTAAAAAATGGATTCAGTCCAGGGCGGAACAATGTCAACTTTATGCAAGACTCTAGAATACTTGATTCCGATTGGACAGTCTTGGCATTCAAAGATTATGCATTATGATCCTAAACCATATGTTGGACCGCTGTCCCTGGCAATTCATTTCCTGCAAAGCTATGCTAGTTTTGTCACCTTTCTATCACCCTAACATGATCATGTAAGGTACAATGAAATACAATACTACATACACTACCATTAAAAAATCTGGGGTCAGTAAGAATTATTATTATTTTTTAAAGAAATTAATATAAATTGATCAAAGGTGACAATAAATACACATTACAAAAGATGTCCATTTCAAATAATTGCTTGCTCTTTTGAATCCTGAAAAAAATACAATTATTAATATATATATAAATCGGTTTCCACAAAAATATTAAGCAGCAAAACTGTTTTTAACATGGACAACAATAAGAAATGTATGTAACTATAAGAAATAAGAAATTGAGCAGCAAATCAGCATATTAGAATGATTTCTGAAGGATCATGTGACACTGAAGACTGGAGTAATGATGCTGAAAATTCAGCTTTGTCATCACAGGAATAAATTAAACTTTAAAATATATAAAAATAGGGAAGTCATTTTGTAATTATTGTAATAATATTTCACAATATTATTCTATTTACTTTGTTTTTAATCAAATTAATGCAGCCGTGGTGAACATAAGAGACTTATTTCAAAAACATGAAATCTTACAGACCCCAAACATATGAATAGTAGTGTACACGACAGAGTAAATGTACAATAAAAAGGAATTAGGGATGTTCATTTCGGTTATTTTTCCTAACCGACAACCGACGTTCGTTAACCGATTATTAACCGTTTTGTTGTTAAAATTAACAAGATTATTTTAAATTCGAATTTAATTAAATTCGAAAGGATACATGTCTGTGACCGGTTAAAAAAATACTAACATTTGTTTCCCGGGGATTAATTTTAGGCTACATGCGCAAAAAGCAGCAAACAACAGAACATGAGGATTCACGTGACCATCATATCACATCACGCACCTGCAGCGCTTCTGCGAGCGGAGAAAAACATCATAAAGCTAGGCTATAGGCCTATAGCTATATACAGTGGGTACGGAAAGTATTCAGACCCCCTTAAATTTTTCACTCTTTGTTATATTGCAGCCATTTGCTAAAATCATTTAAGTTAATTTTTTTCCCCTCATTAATATACACACAGCACCCCATATTGACAGAAAAACACAGAATTGTTGGCATTTTTGCAGATTTATTAAAAAAGAAAAACTGAAATATCACATGGATCACAAGTATTTAGACCCTTTGCTCAGTATTTAGTAGAAGCAGCCTGTTCATTATCATAATAAAATAGTCAGTCAAACATACCGAAAAAAAAAACACACTGCTCCGTTCAAATATGTAGTAAAATCTGTGCCGTTAAGCGCTATCACCGTACCGCCGTGATGTTATGCAAACCATGTTGTTTTAAGTGGATATTGGAACGCGAGTGAAGGAGGCTACATAATAAATATTTTGTATGTATTATACATTCAAATACGTCGCGAATATATGGAAACATTTAATTTTGTGTCGAATGAGACGCAACGTTGGTTTCAGTTTCGTTTTAGCCTAAATGAATTTGTTTTGGCTTGTCGTTTAGCTATAGCTTCTTATATTTTTAATTCTTGTTCTTTTCTAAATACTGTTAATTGAAATTATTTGTTGTGGACCGAGGGGTTGTGGAAACTAATTTTTCATGATTTTTTGATGAATAAAAATTTATTATTTGAAACAAAATTTTTAGTAACATTAAAACTGTTTTTACTTTCATTGTAATCCATCAATTGAATGCATCCTTTGTGGATAAAAAAAAGAAGTATTAATTTCTTTCAAAAGTACTGACCCCAAATGTTTGAAAAGCAGTGACTGAATAAATAAAGAAAGAAAGGAGGAAAGAATTACTGACAATGAGTTACTGAATCTACTGAGAGTCCCAGTTTCATTTCATCAGTCATCCACGGCCATTTATTATTGGGTCTCTGTTTAAGTATGGATACTGATGTACCGGAAGCTGACATCATACTGAAATCAACTTCTGTATCGATCCATCCCCTACTCAAGAGCATTTGAAAGATTTTAAAGTGCTTCTTACGACAAAGTCTTTCCCATGAGCATTGACGTGGTATCCGTTTTCTGAAGCCAGTGGTTTCAGGTTGAACTCAAAGCCAGTGTTGGGATCTTTCACTGAGCAGGTCTGTAGATAAATGACAAGAGAAATAAGAAAATCTTCTCGATTCTGTCAAAGTCATTGATTTTGTGCGAACATTAAGGTTGACCTGATTGGTGTCCTCAACGGTTGAGATGGCGCAGGCTGCTTCTGTGTCCCAAACAAAGTCAACGGTGCAGTTCTGGTTCATCAAAAAGCGAGGACCAGATGGCTAAAGAAAAAAGACCAAAAAAAAATACTGTTCTCATATTGTTCACATTGTCACGGATTTATAAAAATATTTTTTATAAAATAAATTATTTTACAAATAAGCCTTATAGCAACAATTAAAATAAGAGAGAAAGGTCAGGAATGACTCACTGCTGTCCCAGATGAGCAGACGAAGTGGATACGAGTTGTGTAAGTGGTCATAACTCCATCTGCTTCACACACTGAGCCATTAGTGTACACCAACATTAGTTGGTTCTCTTCTTCGATCACCGGCCCCTTCTTAGCAATACCCAAGTTGCTGATCTCTACCTTCTCAGACAGGCCTTCCTGCTCGAGTAACATGTACACATACATTTGCTGTCAGTGGTGCAGTTTTTTGTATTTCATCATGTCATTCCAGTGTTCACAGCCAGCAAACTAACCTTGTCAGCCTCAAATTTCACCTCACAGACAGAAGCTTTCCTGTCACAGCCAGGCACGGCTTTAAGTGGCTGGCATATATTGATGTAGTATTTCCTCGGGCCGCTGGGGTCAGAGGTTTGCATGGCCTGCCAGTTCCTACCGCCATTAGATACTGCCAAACTGCAGAGAGGAAGGAAACAAGAGATTTACTGGAGAGTCATTGCTGTTAACATTGTCTAGCTTTTTGATACTAGCACTTGTTCGGATGCTGTCAAACACGCATAATGGAGTGATAACACTACCTGAGAAATTATCAGGATTAACAGTGCATTTATATCTAATAATCATATCTAGTATCCAAATGTCCATATCTAGTATCAAATGTCTCCACTATGACAGAGAAGGCTACATCCAAAAAGTGAGATTGGGTTAAAAATTAATTAATTAAATAAAATAAAAAAATCAGTTAGAGTAAGCCATGTTGAACTTTTTTTTATATAAAACTTTTTTTATATAACATTTTTTCATGGGGAAAAAAATAGTTACCTAAACTTAATAATACATTTGAAAATAATAAATTCTCAGTACAAAATAAACCAAATTTACAAAAAAGCACCCTGAATGATCAAAGTCAACATTTTAACCTAACGCTACAATAAAAGCATTATTTTTGCTAAACATTGAAATATTTCAATTTACATCAATTAGGACATTTCTATATAAAAATATATATTTTTATCTTAAAATATTGACTCTTATTTCTCTCCTTATTTCTTATATCTCCTATATTTAATATACAGAGACAAATACAAGCCATTCAAAGGTTGCTTCACCCACAAATAAAAAAAATAAATGGCACTATTCGTTTAGCCATCCCGAACAGCAACACTGGCTCAACCGATGACATGAGTTTGGGATGGGACTACTTGTTTACCAAATCAATGGCAGATGGAGGAAGTATTTAGTAAACTAAAGGATTAGTGTGTTATTTATGCAGCTCTAGTGGCACCAAACACACTATACATTTAATATTTAACAGGACAAATATTTCTAGGGCACATGAGTCTTGAGAAAGGCAAGCTAACCTGGACAGGTCGTACTGCTGCAGTGTTTTGGGGTCTGTTACAACACACTCATGTGGTCTCTCAGGACAGGCGTAGGAAGTGTACCATTTGAAGTTATAAGTGTACTCATCTTCTTTCTGGAGAAAAATGGTCATAAATAAAGGACATTTTTGGCTTGCAGACAAAATAAAAGCTTTATAGGAATAAGAAGGCGTGTCCAATGCAAAGCTTAATGCTTAACACACAAGCCCTTCATGCTAAGGGTAGCATTACTTGAGTACATGCTAAAAATATTTTTGTGTGTTAACTGCACAAACAGAACAAAGAAGCAGGTGCGATACCTGAAACTCAGGTTTTCCTGGACCAGCCTCTCTGTCACAGAGGAAGGAGATGTGTGTGGAACGCTGCGTGTGCTGCTTGTCGTTGTACTGAGAGCCGTTTCTGTAGGTCAACTGTATCATGCCATCATAGTAGGAAAGCCTGGAGTTAAACTCGCCGAGATTCCAAGAGCTTGTGCCACTGCAGAGACAGAACAAAAATCGTTAGCTCCGCCAACAGTGAAAACTTATTGGGTCAAAAATCATGCACGTCACAGCTGCATGTTAAACATCAAATATGTTACGATTCCATTGCTTTATATCACACTTACAGAGAAGACAATATAAACGTGTCGCATCACACAAAAGCGAACTTACCTCTGGTCAACTTGACAGGCCCCTGCTGTTTCTGGACACTGTGCGACCTTCACATTGCCACACACATTGACGAAGTAGTCATACTTGTCAACGGACATGTTATAATAACCTCCACTAGGTTTCTGAAGCGGGGACAAGTCAAACGAAATTCCTGCAAAGAAAAAGAAGCACATTTAAAAACAGCCCAATAAAAGGCAAACAAACATAATAACCTGCCTAAAATGAAACAGTTTTACAATACAAATAATTAGATATTATTATACAGTATATATATATATACATATACATATACATATATATATGTATGTAAGCCTACAGATCAGAAACCATTTTTGTAAAATAAAATTAAATAAAATAATTTAAATTTAGTGTAGTTTAGTTAAATTAAAAACTAAAACAAACTAAAAGTAAATGGCCACAATATATGTGTTTTTGCATAGACAAATATTCACATGAAGGAATAATCTGGTAGGAGAGAAGATGCAGATTATACAGAATTATGACACACAACAGATACAGTAACTTTGTTGTACCAGTGTAGTTTACTCAAATTAAAAGTATGAAAAAGAATTTCCAGTAACTGAAATAAAAACAAACTTCACAAATATGAGAAATATCTTAAATAAGTTTGTCAAAGTCCTAAAATTACTAAAACTGAAAAAATCACATAATTACTAAGATAAACTAAAATTTAAATGAAAACTGAAAATATAAAAATTCTATATACAGTGGGGAAAAAAAGTATTTAGTCAGCCACCAATTGTGCAAGTTCTCCCACTTAAAAAGATGAGAGAGGCCTGTAATTTTCATCATAGGTATACCTCAACTATGAGAGACAAAATTAGAAAAAAAATCCAGAAAATCACATTGTAGGATTTTTAAAGAATTTATTTGCAAATTATGGTGGAAAATAAGTATTTGGTCAATAACAAAATTTCATCTCAATACTTCATATACATATACATATATATATGTATGTAAGCCTACAGATCAGAAACCATTTTTGTAAAATAAAATAAAATAAAATTTTTAATTTAGTGTAGTTTAGTTAAATTAAAAACTAAAACAAACTAAAAGTAAATGGCCACAATATATGTGTTTTTGCATAGACAAATATTCACATGAAGGAATAATCTGGTAGGTGAGAAGATGCAGATTATACAGAATTATGACACACAACAGATACAGTAACTTTGTTGTACCAGTGTAGTTTACTCAAATTAAAAGTATGAAAAAGAATTTCCAGTAACTGAAATAAAAACAAACTTCACAAAAATGAGAAATATCTTAAATAAGTTTGTCAAAGTCCTAAAATTACTAAAACTGAAAAAAAATCACATAATTACTAAGATAAACTAAAATTTAAATGAAAACTGAAAATATAAAAATTCTATATATTAACATACCATGAAAACTGAAAATATACAAATACATCAACAAATACATAATAGTACATGAAGAAACTAAAATACCAATGTCCTGTACCTGCTTGTGGGTTGTCCACCTTGCATTCGTCGCCTTCTGTTTTAGACAGGACGCAGGCTGAAGCGGTGAACCACTCAAACTCATAGATGCAGCCATCACTGGACATGCTCCTCAGGACTGGAGCGCTCTCAACATCCCCAGGCTTACACTTCAGAGTGATGATGGTTTTCACTCTCATGTTCTCCCCGCATTTGTCTCCATTAGTGTAAATGAGTCTGATGTCATCCCCCTCTGCTGCCTTTTGCGGAGAAATCAGGAATTTGCCCAAGTTCATAGTTTTCCCAGTGCCTAAGAGAAGACAATTTGGGTTCGAATGAAATGTCCTGAGTAAGATGGAACAGAAAAAAGGTTTCATTTATATCTAGGATATAATCTCTAATGGTGCACTGACCTACTGCACATATTGCTGCGTCCTCAGGGCAAGATCTGGTCTCCTCGTCTTGGATGATTTTATGACAAACATTGATCAGCTTTCCCATTTCCTAAGAGAAGAAAATTTGGGAGAGAATGAAACGTCCCGAGTAAGACAAAACTGAAAAAAGTTTTTATATTTATATATATATATATATATATATATATATAGAGGAAATAATCTCTAATGGTGCACTGACCTACTGCACATATTGCTGCATCCTCGGGGCAAGATCTGGCCTCCCCCTCTTGGATGATTTTATGACAAACATTGATGTAAAAACGTTTCTTATCAGACTCTGCTGCCTTGGCGCCCACAGCCTCCCAGTTTTGAGATCCCTCGGATTCTGAGAGAAAAACATTTACAATAAGCAACATGAGGTGCTGGTACAATTACTGTTTGAAAAGTTTACAGAAACTTTCATATTTTAGAAAACAGGTTTCAAAGTACGAGCCTGAGATAATATTTTATGGCCCATCAAATGCTAATGATTTATCCTTTAATCCAGCCTGCAATTTTTTTTATATTCAAACGAGATTTTCCACTTACTACATTTTTTGGTTTGGCCTTTTAATGTTACTAATTTCAGTCTGGTCCTCACACAAAGTGCTAAGTATTTTTATAGCGCGTTTTTTTTCTATAAGCTGAATGAATATTTTTGGAGGGTTCCACAGAAATTTTCTTTCTTTTTTTTAGGCGAACTTTTCTTTTAGAAATTAGGCAATTGTTTGGAATGGTGAAGTAAAAATAAATAAATAAATAAATAAATAAATAGGCATAGATTAGTCGGCAAGATTATTTAAAAAAAATTTAATTACCATGTTTATTCAGCTAGGATGATTTAAATGGATCAAAAGTGACTGTAATAACTAGATATGTAATAAGATATGTATAATGGTAATCATACAAATTATATTACAAATAAATACTGTTCTTTGAACTCTCTATCCTTCAAAAAACTCTGGGGGGAAAAAAATTTTTCACAAAAAAATTAAGCAGAACAACTGCCTTCAAATTACGTTTAAAAAAACATTCAAATAGACAAGTTTTCATTTTTAAATTGTAATTTCACAGTATTAAATTTTTTTTTATCTAATAAATACAGCCTTGGTGAGCATAAGAGACTTCTCTTAATAAACATTCAAAAATCGACCCTAAACTTCATAGTGTATTTATTTACTTGTCATTAAATAACTAAAAATAAATCATGAAAATAATAATAAGAAAAAAAGTTTTCATGATCAATCTTTGCCTCCACTTCCCAGAACACAAGTCATTCTGCTCATCTCTACCTGGGTAGCGCGTAAGAGGCGACAGATCATAACGCTTCTTCTTGTGGTCTGTGACTTGACACAGCAGATCTTCCTTCTCCTTCACACATGCGTACGCAGTCTGCCAGTCAAAGTAATACGTGCAGTCAGACTCTCCCGTAAAGTTCGGCTTGCCATACTCTGCAAACCACAAGTCAGCTGTGAGTGAAACATTTTGAAAACCAAATTTCCAACACGAAACAAAGTCATCTAGGTCACATTGTTGCATTTCCTTCCCATTCAAATAAACTTCCACAATCAGTAGCAGGGTTAAAAGAGCAGCGCTGTGTTCTCATCAGCACGTGACTTGACCAGTTACTATGAGAGAGCTGCACGATTCTGGATAAATTGAGAATCACAAAACAATGTGTGACAAAATATTATTGCTGCAGTCTATTTAAAAGTGTTTAATTAATTTGAATGGATTTTAATATACATTATCAGTCAAAAGTTTTTGAACAGTAAGATTTGTAATGTTTGTTAAAGAATTATCTTCTGCTCAGCAATGCCCCCTGCGTTTTTTTTTATCCAAAATACAGCAAAAGTAGTAATATTGCGAAATATTTGTACAAGTTAAAATAACTGCTTTCTATTTGAATATATTTCAAAATGTAATTTATTCCTGTGATCAAAGCTGAATTTTCAGCATCATTACTCCAGTCACATGATCCTTCAGAAATCATTCTGATATGCTGATTGCTGTTCAAGAAACATTTTTTTATTATCATTTTTCAGGATTCTTTGATGAATAGAAAGATCAGCATTTATCTGAAATAAGCTTTTGTAACATTATACACTATGACTATACCATTCAAAAGCTTGGAGTCAGTATTTTTGTATGGGGGGGGTGGGGGGATTATATAAATTAATACTTTTATTTAGCAAGGATCCTTTAAATTGATCTTAAAAGTACGATAAAGACATTTATAATATTACAAAAGATTTCTATTTCAGATAAATGCTGTTCTTCTGAACTTTCTATCAAAGAAACCTGAAAAAAATCTACTCAACTGTTTTCAACATAATAAATGTTTTTTTTAACAGCAAATCAGAATATTAGAATGACTTCTGAAGGATCATGTGACACCTATAGACTGGCGTAATGATGCTAAAAATGTAGCTTTGAGATCACAGGAATAAATTACATTTTAAAATATATTCAAATAGAAAGCAGTTATTTTAAATTGTAAAAATATTTCAAAATGTTACTGTTTTTGCTGTACTTTGGATCAAATAAATGCAGGCTTTGTGATCAGAAGAGACTTCTTTAAAAATATATTCAATACACCAATTTTTCATATTGATGTTATGAAAAAGTTGTTTGAATCAATGATTCAACGACTCACTCATAAACCTACTTCACTTGTTTCATTACTGGATGAATCAGCGTTTTTGAACAATTCTCTTGAATGAATAATTCATTCAATGACAAATACATTTTTAAGTCACTTTTCGCTACCTAGTGGCGAAACAATGCAATCGACATAAAAGTTATTTGAAGCGTAGTTACATTCAAAAGGGGATTTGCTTTATTTTGATTGCTGCCATAGACATCCATATTTATATCTGAACTATAAACTTTCACCCCAGTATTTCTGTGATAATATGAATGAAAGACAGAAATAATACTGTGTAGTTGAAAAGACAGTTTGTGAAGATGCTTCTTAACCAAACATGGCAAGTAACTGCTCTCTCTGTGTCAGCGTCAGTGCGAACACAGATATGAATGATCCGGTAAGACTTGTCAAAGGTTTAACAGACTCGGTTGTCATTTAGAAATGAGATCGCGTGGGTGTCTGAATCGAGATCGCGATCTTTTAACGATTAACCGTGCAGCTCTACTATGAGATGAGTCATTGTGTCACTCACCAGCCGTTGCATTGCACTCAAAGTTAATGATGGTCATGCGCTGGAATCCAGTGCTGCATCTGCTGCCGTCTGGGTAGATTAGCGTGAGATCACCATCTGAATACCTTAAGATATAAAAGAAAAGGATTACGACTGCTCAACAATTTACATTTTCACTGGGTGAATCAGTAACACAAGCTAAGGCGAACCTCAGAGTTTGGTTCTGGAATCTCCCAGCAATCTTCTTCACATCACCCGTGTCCTTGACTTGGCAGGCAGACACGTAACCTTTGACATCACTACACAGTCCAGCATTGGTCTTCTCACACACGTTCAGATAGAAGATATAGGTGTCATTGCCATTTTTGGCCTCAGCCATATAGGGTGTGCCTGAAGCTAAGGATAAACAAAATATGAAGAATGGTAAAGCATTATATTTGTAATATAAATAAATATAATACTCGATCACATCAAGGATGCACCACAACTATACGTACTTGTTATTGAAGAATGGTTTTGTGTTTTTGCTAAACTGTATGAAGTCCTGGGAACACCTTAACGCATGTTTCATGATGTTTACAGTGAGTTTTAGTATACTTGTTCTCAATGTTCTTGTTCTAGTTTGCCTTCAGTGGGAAAAACAAACTCTATATCTAACAAACTGCCGTGTGATTTATCCAAGTACCAAAACAAAAGAGTATGATGGAAACACCATGTTATTTCAACCAAGTACCATGCCAATGTCTTGCTTTGCATTTTTTTTTTTTTCACTGAGAAGAACCATGGAAATACCATGTTTTTTTTGGACGTTTTTAGACATTTTACCATGGTCATCTCTAAAGTTCAATGAAGTAACATGTAAATACCACAGTAAATTAATATGCGTCAATGCCATGGTATTAGTGTTACTTTAGTATTTTTTATATACTATTACAGTATTTATTAATATTTTAAATGAGCTTTAATTTTAAGTTTTAGTAATTTTGTTATGTGCTTTTGTCAATTTGTATTTTTTTTTTGATGTAGCTTTAATGTATTTTTTTCAGCTTTAGTATGTCATTTTAGTACTTCAAAAATGTTTTAATTTATTTTATTTCAGTTAGTTGGCAAAATGTTACTATCACTTAAGTTTAAGTCAAGTCAAGTCACCTTTATTTATATAGCGCTTTTAACAATACAAATTGTGTCAAAGCAACTGAACAGCATTAATTAGGAAAATAGTGTCAATAATGCAAAATGACAATAGTTAACACTCATTTTTCAGTTAAACTTCATCATTGAATTCAGTGACGTCATCATCCAGCTCAGTTCAGTTTAAATAGTATCTGTGCAATCATTTGCAATCAAGTCAACGATATCGCTGGAAATGAAGTGTCCCCAACTAAGCAAGCCAGAGGCGACAGCGGCAAGGAACCAAAACTCCATCGGTGACAGAATGGAGAAAAAACCTTGGGAGATACCAGGCTCAGTCGGGGGGCCAGTTCTCCTCTGACCAGACAAAACCAGCAGTTCAATTTCAAGTTTTCATTTAATATTTATCTAATATTTTATTTTATTTCAATTAACATAAATTACTTTTAATATTCCCACTGTACAATGACACTGGGATATCTATGGTTTGTTCAGTTAGTCATTAAACACCATATCAAATCCATCATCACACCATTCTTTCCACAGAAACAACATTTACATCATTGCCTCTTACTAAACTAATAGAGTTAACTCACGGTTGTGTGTCAGGGGAGTAAGGTCAATGGAGATGTCGTGCTGTTTGCTGGTCAGCGTGCAGCTTTGACTCTCCAGGTAATCTCTGTGGCAGGCGTACTCAGTCACCCACTCAAACTCATACCGACAGTTCAAGTTGCTGATCATCTTAGGGTTACTTCCCTGATAAACCATTGAGAAAACTGTGAGATGACCGAGTATAGTAGGTATACTGCAATGAAATGAAACACTAGGCATCTTCTTACCGCCTGCCTTGCGGATGGACAAATGAATGTAATCGTCACTGCTGGACTGTGGCCATTACAGAAGGCTGGGCTTTCTTTGACTCCCTCGTACCGCAGCCTTAGTCTGAAAAAGAGAGTATCAGTTATGCTGCTGCTCCAGTTTTCTACATTGATAGTAAGTGTTTCTTGAGCACCAAATCTGCATATTGCAATGATTTCTGAAGGATCATCTGACACTGAAGTAATGGCTGCTAAAAATTCGGCTTTGCATCACAGGAGTAAGTTACATTTTAAAATATATTAAAATAGAAAACAATTATTTGATGATATAATAATGTTTCACATTATTACTGTTGGTGAGCATAAACGTACCAATCGCAAACTTTTGAATGGTAGTGTAAAAGCATCAGCCTAATAACTAATTAGCTATTAAATTAGCACATACTTGTCATTTGAGAGCAGCTCAAGCTGATGAACAGGCTGACCCATATCGAAGGAGCCGTCGCCAGAGGTGAGACAGGCTGCAGATCCCTCGGGACACAGGCTTCCAGCACGGTCTGGACGGACAAACATCATCCAAGTTATTTGCGTTGCACTTCCAAATGCTTTAGTTGTTTAAATAATAACCTGCTCGGACGCTTTGCAGATTGTTTTGTGTGATAAAGCAGCTACTGTATATAATCAAAACGTTTGTTGACTGGGCAAAACTCTTATAAAGCCCATACACTGTGTCCAAAAAAATAAATAAATAAAAGTTTACAGAAACTCACTTAGACTTCTGCATATATTAATGTAGAAATCAATTTCATCATCTGGGTCGTCAACCAGGTAGCCATCTGAGAGTTTTATCAATGGGTTGAGGTCATGCTTCTTTCCATCCGAGTCAAAGACATAGCAGGGGACCTTTAAAAAGAGATCAGCAAATAATGCATTGGGAGGTTTTTTTTTTTTTTAACACCACTCAAGCCATTTCCTGTTTGTTGTAGCATAAATAAGATATTAGGCAAAATAGGCAAATAAAATTTACACTTTGTGAAAATGTTACTGGCGCTTGGATTAGCATAATAATAGAATAATAGGAAAAAAAAGTTGTTTCCCTGAAATTTACAAAACTAATATTTTATTCCAAATCGAGTAGATAATTAAATAAACACTGCGCCGATTTTTACAATAGTTTAATTTTTTTTTTTATTGTTAATCATTCTTTATGCAGATTTTGCATTATTCAAGTTTATTTAGAAATTCACACTGTCAAAATGTTTTGTTCAAGGCTGATGAGTTGAATTTTTTCTCACACTGAGAACAACTGAAACAGCCAAACACACACACTTAAACATTCACACCTTCCTCCACGTTAACGCTCTAACAGAAATGTCATCACGTCTCATCACCTCTACTCACCTCCTTATGTGGTCTAAATTTCTCACGTCTGCAGGCGGCATACGTCCGCCATTCAAAGTAATGCACACACTCAGAGACAGTAACAAACTCAGGTGTGCCCTGTAAAGAAAAAAAATCAGATGTTATCCATAATGTGTGAAAATTATTGGAAATAATGAAAATGTGAAAAATAAATGTTTGCATATAAATAAATAAATATATAAAAAAATTAATATATATATAAATACACACAGAGCAATAACCACAAGCTTTTTTTTTTCCCAGCAAGCTGGTAACACAACAAATGCTGAATGTTACTGCAATAAACTAACACACTCTATATGCAGCTGGACTTTAGTAATAGAAATAAAGTCAAATGTCATTTGTCAATGCACAGCTATGTCGAGCACAAGAACAACAGCCATAATACGTTTGCTTGCCTGTATTCAAACCAAAGTCAACTAAAGTTTACCAGCACATACAAATCAGTAAATGTCTCTGTGCCACCCAACAAAGCAAAAATATTACAGCATGTGATCTGGAGAGGTTAGAAATTCATAGGCCAAATGTCTAGCAGTGCACAACTCATGGGAACAAATAGCATGAGAAGATGACCTAATAAAAACGCACCAATGTGAAAAAAGGTTCTAAAAACATGCCAACTGGAGCCAGAGAAACTACAGCTGACACTTTAGGCCGCTGGAAAACATTTAGCATGCCATGCGTGGAGAAAAAGAATACTAGTGTACTGCACAATATTATACATCATATTAATTTTTTTTTAACTGCTTAAAAAAAACAAAGCACTACATTGTCATGACTTGACCTCAATTTGTTGTTTTATATTAATTTAGTGTGTGCCACTCAATTACTTTAGTAAAATATGAATAAAGAAAAAATTCTCACATGTTTGTGCACGTATGACTGTAAAATGATCTTATTGCAGTCATCAAATAATGAATCAAGAAAAACCAAAATTGCAGGTGACATTATTTCTGGTTCATTCATGATACTCGATATGGAAGGTCATGTCAAGCCCATTGCATTGTGGGATACATCTGCTTTGACAACAAATTTGAGCAATTGTTTTCCGAGCATTTAAAAAAAAATGCATATTGCACACAGTGTGCACACTGACTGCATACTGAAAACATAACTAGAAAGCAGTCTAGTAAAACGCTATTCTGTTTTTCATTCAACTGCTCTGTTCAGGATGTGTTAAATGTTTCGAGAATGCTTTTAACTTTTATTAAGACGGCAAATATAGTTGATGTGATTATGATTTATGCACATGGTGGAGCCTGAAAATTTTAACTACTGCCATTTTAAATACTGTCACTTTGTACTACTGCACCTGCTGCTAGATAACTTTGACCTACTTACTGTGAAACACAAAGATAGGACTGCAGGAACACAAGATAAAGAATACCAGGATATGCGAGCGAGTGTATACACACACTAAAATGAATGCAAACACTTTCAGATGCATCAACACTATTGTGTGTGAAACACACATTACTGGCCCGGAAAGCCCCATAACGGATACACACCAACCACCAAAGTGTGTGACACTGAGAACCAGTACGACTATAATTACCACAATCAACACAGCATGAAACACTACATAAATAGACATTACACAACGGTGTTTGGATGTTTTTCTTACTACGGTACAAAATAACTTCTGTACTCTATGTAACAGTGCTGAAAGCCGCTCATTATGAATATAAGCACACAGATCCTATCAGCATGATCAACATTTTGCAAGTTGCCTTACTTTGTCATATGATCAAATGGTTTGTGATGCAATATCTCCAGTGTTCGTTCTGACAACAAGTGAAATGGATCCCTTTATTTAAATCTAGGGCTAACAGTTACCTCAGAGCCACTATTGGTCAGAGTGTTCAGTTGATAGGTTTGTGTCATATGGAGGTCAGCTGACTAGTTGGATAAGACCAAATAAACAAGCACTCTGTCTGTGCTCTGTCATGCAGCTCTCGCTTATGAGAGCAATGACCATATAACAGCCCTGAGTTGCAGGGTTGTTATCTACTGCGTAGACAAAACATGAAGTATTTATCATACTTACTTCCTATAAAAAGTTTTAATTTTTAACCTGAATATCCAGACTAAGCAAAAAAAAAAACAATCACTTCTTTCTTTGACCAACCCCGAGCGTTTGGGGTGACTTGACTCAATAGGAAATGGTCTCAATCGCATGACCTAAACAATGAAAGAGTGAATCTTGCATGAAAACATGTTAATGTCACATTTCACCCTAAACTTTTAAGAAAAACAGAAAGTTTATATATTTTTATACAATATATTCAAATATATACACTAACACTATCAATCAAAAGTTTTCATTCAGTATTTCTTAAGGATTTAATAATTTTATTCAGCAAGCATTAAATGGATCACAAGTGTCAGTAAACACATTTATTATTTTATCATTTATAAAGATTTTGATTTCAAATAAAGGCTGTTCTTTTGAACTTTCTATCCATCAAAGAACCCTAAAAAAATGTATCATGGTTTCCATAAGACTATTAAGCAGAACAAATGTTTTCAACATTTGAATAAGAAACATAAGAAATGTTTCTTGAGCAGCAAATCAACATATTAGAATGATTTCTGAAGAATCATGTGACACTGAAGACTGGCATCACAGGAATACATTACATTTGAAAATAAAGTTATTTAATTTAACATTATTACGGTTTTTAAGAAATCATACATATTGCATAAATAAAATAAAATCTAGGACCATTAAGACGGCAGTGTCTCATTATTTAATAATGCAAAATGCAATGTAAATTGGCAAACTTACACCATAATAACCAACAAATCAATGAGAATTTAGAGAATCTGAGAATTGTTTTCTTATACAACGTTGGTGATGGTGAAACCAGTGCTACTCTCACAGTTAGTGTCATTATATATCCTAATTAATCAAATAATCAAACAATCAATTTTCTAATCAACATACAGTATAACTGGTAATCATTATCTCGTGACAGAAAGCGGAATATTTAGAAAAAACGTTGAGAAAATGAATATTATTCAATATAAAATCAAATGTATGCTATATTAGAGAAAAGGAGTAACGTACAGGTTTTTAACGATTTTGTTTTATGAACATTGCTGTTGCAGTTTGGGTGTACATCATGCAACATTGGCACATCGATGCATTGCTCTTACCCACTGACTGGAACTGGTCACTCTTCAGCTTGTGGGCACAGACCGCGCTTCCTTTTCCACATTCTGTTTCCGGAGAAGAATCACAGAGCTTCAAAGTGTATGTCACATTGCTGTCTTGGTCAATGGCCTCCCATTTGTAACTTCACACAGACAAAAAGAGAGACACACAATTTCAGCTGACAATATCCATTTGCAAAACCAGCTCAGTGCCTAAATGAATGCATTTCTTTGTCTCAGGTGAGACTAAATATCTGTTATGGTTTTATTAGGTCCAGGTACATAATGCATCCAGGCTAAAGGGCCACAACTATCATTCAAAAAAATATAAAGCAGACCAGATCATATCTAAACACATACAATTCTTTCTAAACCACTGTTTGCATGTTATCCATAAGGGTTTGCCAGCAATGATTAGCATTATGTTTATTTAAGATCTCACCTGCACAGATCCTTGTACCATGGGCTGTCATCCGACCCCACTGCTGATGATACACACTGAAGCAGTATGAAAGTTAACAAACCAGTGGCAGAGATTCCGCAAACCCGCGCAGGACCCATATTTTAGACTAGGAAATAAAAGAGTGCGCACAGTCCGACATGATACAGCAGTCCTTTCTGATTACTGATCATTACCCGTGTAGCAGGAACCACTCACAGTCACATGACGCATGACATGTGGGACGTCACGTGGTGCGCTCCGCTCGAATAAGTAGATTGGCGTCAGCACGGAGAGGACCGTCCTAAATAGGCGTGGCTTCGCTTTTTTCCTTTTCTTTTTACTGTCGTCAAAGTCCCTTTCAAGGCAAGCCTGTTCACTCGGCGGCCATATTTGCAACGCATCCGGGCAGTAGGGATGGCCGATATACCCCTTATTTTGTTTTCGATACGATACCGATATTTTTCAAGGCAGTATCGTCGATATCGATACCGATACTTCTGCACTAAACTTTTAAATTATGACATTTATTAAATTACTAAGAGTAAATGGGTAATGAAAACCACTTAACTTTATGTTTAAAACGCATTTTAACCCGTTTAATCCCAAATTTTTCCCAGACATGAAAATATCTAAATGATGTGTCATTAGTAACCCTTTGAAATAAGTTAAATAAACAAAACCACTGGTAAATAAAACACACCTTAGTATCGATATTTTTTGTTTGAGTATCGATACTCGCATCAGTATCGATATATCGATACTTCGGATCGATACGCCCATCCCTACCGGGCAGCTCAAACAAGCTGAATGGGGGAATCCTGAAATCTCAAAAACTGCTCTATGAACTCAAAATTAAATTACATATTTCAAATCAGCAACATAATCTGAAATGAACTGCCCCATGAATGTTGTTTCTTATGCTCAAATAGCGTTAAAAAGCTTTTTTTTTCAGGGCCATTATCGAAAAATAGACCCCTGACCATGATCATCACATACTCAGACTGTCGTATATTTGTGATAATGCTACCTATCAAAAAAATAAATCTAGTTTAGAGTTGATAATTTTTTTTTTATCTTACTCTTAAGAGTATCTTAAAGATATCTATTGCACTGTAGAAAACGTTGAATATCTAATAATAATAATTATTATTAATCTTCAATAAAAATGTTGTTTACGGTGTTTAATTATCTAATCTATAACGACAATTTAACATCTAAGTGTATGATAGCTCTTTTTAACTTTTGTTAATTTGTACAATGGGAAATTTAGACAAATTTATTTCTCTCAATGTGACGATTTATCAATCAGAATCAAATATTTGAGATCATTTTTTAAATTTAATTTATTTATTAAGTATCTCAGCTCTCCTCTCTCTGATGACTAGGATGGACCAATCACAGGGGTTTGTAATTCCTGCAACAACTATCTTTAAAACATATAAATTACAGCGATTATATAAATGTCTCTCTTCAATAAGACAAACATCCAGAAACGTCTTACAGCTACAAGGTCTGACAAGTTTGTAATTTTTTTTTTTGAAGACTGGTTATAACTTTAATTAATAACTTTAATTCAGTTACATAGAAAAGTAGATTATTCTAAATTGAATCCGAAAAATAAGACTGATTAGACTTGGTTAACTGCTTGTTGGTCAGAGTCAGACTACACAGAGAGGCTAAATTTAAAGGGGTCATATGATGCGATTTCAAGTTTTCCTTTCTTTTTGGAGTGTTACAAGCTGATTGTGCATAGATAAGATCCCTGAAGTTGCAAAGACTAAAGTCTCAAAGCCAAAGAGATATTCTTTATCAAAGTTAAGACTCTGCCACGCCCCCCTAAAATGGCTCGTTCTAACACGCCCCCACATATCTACCTCACTATGTGGGAATATTTGCATAATGCCGCCCAAATGTTCATGCAAAGAAAGAAGGCGTGGTTTCAGTAACCGCAGTTAGTGTTGAAGCAGCCGTGTCAGGGAGACGCTGTGTTTCTAGGTGAAAGCAAAAGCACTTTATTTGGCCTTCCGAAAGTAGATGCATTTAGGAATCTTTAAGATGACTTACAACAGAACAGCAATGCATTTTATGGATGACCGTTTCATGAACCTTTCATCATCCCTGTGTCTGTCACGAGACTCTGTTCCCCTTTCGGGCTCTGTCTTTACATTTATTTTGAAAGATGAAGCTCGCGATTATGGTAAGGGGCGTTACATTTACGACGTTCGGCCAATCACAATGCACTGGGTCAGCTGGCCAATCAGAGCAGACTGCGCTTGTCGGAAGGAGGGACTTTGTAGAAAACGAAGTGTTTGAGAGAGGCGGGGCATAGAGGACCTACAATAATGTACAGTATTTGAAAAATAATGTTTTTTTTAACATTAACGCATGACAACATATTCTGTTACACCAAATACACAAAATAATTATCTTTAAAAAAGCATCATATGACCCCTTTAAGCAACTGGCCCCAGATTAGTGTTGCTCAGTGTATGTTTGAGCCACCATGCGCCCCCTCGTGGACGATTATTTTGTTTCATCTGAAACATTTAAAACCTTGTGATATGTGCCATCCAATAATTGCCAATGAGTCATTGTTACAAAAAAAATGCATGAGTATGTCCAGTTTAGCTAAAAATGCTGTATTCCACATAGGACAATATAACATTAATGAAGCCAGTGATGTGTAGATGTAATTAAAACCACCAAGAAATGTATGATCGTAATACTGTAATAGCTATAATGGTGTGTAATAACCATGTAATTACAGTCAGGATGGCCGAGCGGTCTAAGGCGCTGCGTTCAGGTCGCAGTCTCCCCTGGAGGCGTGGGTTCGAATCCCACTTCTGACAATAACCTTTTTTCCACAGCTCCTACACAACATCTGAAGAGTATCTTTTTATTGTGTGTTCCAACAGAACTAGAAAGAACATTTTCACTCACAAAAAAACAACACTGGGTTAAACATCACAATCAAACAGAGGTCAAATGTCAATCTTTTTAATTACTAAATAAAGTTTTGCTGTTCAGAACTTAAAGCCAGCATAGCCAACACAGCCATCAATAAACTGACTGTATATTTCATCAGTCACATGTCCATTTATAGATAAATAAGACCTGCCAAAAAGCTGGAAATCCAGTCTTTAGTTCTAAAACTAGATTTTTTCATCAAAAATAATATGATATAGAGTTTCATGGTTAAAATCCTACGATTTTAAGATCTATAATGTTTGAACAATACAAATTGTACTCCATAAAACAAAATGCTCCATTTCTACAAAACACACTTATAGAACATCACTACTGAATCAAAAAAATGAAAATAAACAATTAAATCAAGCCATTCCAAAGCTGGACTGTTCTTTAAGTGCAATATCGAGTGTAACTCGCCAGCTTCTCTGTTCTGAAATAAACCAATTGGAACTCAATACTCAAAACTCTACATACTCAATATTACAAAAAAAACAAACAAAAAAAAAGAATCTAAATTGTAATACTTACGAAGCATAGGCCGTTTCACATCAGCTCACCTAAGAAATAAAAAACAAAAAAAACTTAAGCCACAAGTTATTTTCTTGAATTAAAAAAATAAGTAGTTGCATATAACAGAAACGGGTAAATCTTTAATTAGTTCAAATGTGGTCTACAATTCCTGGTTACTTCAACCACTGTTGAATATAATGACTATTTTTTTAAATATCTGAATACTGTAAAGACTTTGTCTATGTGAATCATTACTTAGCTGAACAGTGAAATTCAGAAATGATCTATGCATAGAAATTTATTAAACACTACCAGTCAAAAGTCAAGTGGACACACTTGATTTTATATTTATATTTAGAATTTATTTCTTGAATCATTTTACTCTATATGGCCCAAGATATTTTTTTCCAATATGATCTATGACCTGTAGGTGACACTATCACCAAACTTTAAATACTGCTCAGAAGAAAGCACTGTAGCAATGACACATACTAAGCTTTGTTTTAATGACAAAGCACTGCAAAAATACAACCTAATTGTTTTTTTAGTATAGTCAACAGTCAACTTGACTGACTCCGTCAACTGCGTAGTCAGAATCATTACTTTGTGATTCAGTAACTGTTGCAATAAATAACTTTTTTTGGTCTGAAAATCATGTAAGCTAGCTAACTTTTAAATTAAACATGTTTTAACAACAGCAGCACTACAACTCAATTTACAGTATTTGAGCAGTGTTGGGGAAAGTTACTTTTAAAAGTAATGCATTACAATATTGCGTTACTCCATAAAAAAGTAACTAATTACGTTACTTAGTTCCATTTTATGGAAAGTAATGCGTTACGTTACTTTTGCGTTACTTTTTAAATCTGGAAAGGGCTTGCTTGTTTGCTTTTAAAATAAGAAAGTTCAATTTTTGGCAAATATAAAAGCCTTTTCACACCAAAAGTGAAATGAATAAGCCTCAAGCTGAAGGGAAAGTAAATTTACGTCCGTACAGTAGAATGCAGAAGAAGAAATTTCAACACACACAAATGTTTCTGCCCTATATTATAAAATAATATGCAGTAACATTTATATTTACATAATATTTACAAAATAATCAATTTGAAATACAACATTAGAACTTAAACAAAGAAAACTATATCTGCAGAAAAAAAACGTCTGTTCTATAATCCTGTTAAATTATTTCAACCAGAGAGATTGTTGAAACCACTGTAACCATCTAAAAGGTACCTTTCTTCAGTATTTAACCCCTAATTAAGAATTTAGTAAGCGTGTCCAAACATTTGACTGGTAGACTATGTACTGCAGATCATAAAGACAGAAAAGAAAGTTAAATGAATACAATAGATCATAGCTGGTTTATCATCATTCTCACTCACATTGTTTGATAACTGATGTACTAAGCGTTGCCCGCTCCGCAGGTCCAAAATCTTCACTCCTGTTCAAAGGGTGTGCATTTTGCTCCCCAACAGAATCTTGAGATGACTTTTGATCAAACATGGACTCCTTTGAAAAGAGTGGTTGAGAACATTCGGCTTTGCTTGTGTGCTCAGTTATCATGGATAAAACATTCACACTGCTGGTGAAGTCTTGTTTAGGCTCTCTATTGAGTCCTAGCTCTTGCTGAAACCTGATTCCAAGCATATTATCGATATACATGGCATGATCAGCATCTACTAACTCTTTTGCGAGATTTCGCTTTCCAGTGACAAT